ACTGATCAGCTAACTGGGAATGCTAATAATCTCAGCGAGATGCTAAAATTTGGACTGACGCCTACTACCCATCTCAGCACCTACAACGTGATTCGGGCTTTTTTGCTCCGACTTCGGCAGCTCGTTTCAATAAATACAGGCTGAAATAAATTATCTGCCCTTCATCCCTTAAAGTGTCTATCACTATAAAACTTTCCTTTCTTACCTTTAAAATGTTTTAAAATATAAAGTTGTTTATTTTTCCTGACAGCATAATGGCTGTTTGCTATTCATTTAAACCTTCGCTGCTGAAGAGTTCCACAATAATCTGTTTCCAATAATTCGTACTACTACTATTTCTTATAAGAATGATCTATAGTATGAATTATTGGAAACAGATTATTGTGGAACTCTTCAGCAGCGAAGGTTTAAATGAATAGCAAACAGTCATTATGCTGTCAGGAAAAATAAACAACTTTATATTTTACTGGATTTAAACATTTTAAAGGTAATTTTATAGTGATAGACACTTTAAGGGATGTTCAAAGGAAAAAGTTGAGGCGGGCAATAATTTATTTCAGCCTGTATTTATTGGGCCATTTGTCAGGGAGCGTTTTTTCAGTCTTTTTTTTTTTTCGCTGCAACACCTGCACCTACTTCTGATACACACTCATATGGAGACGCCACCACTTGCCAGTCGAGGGCTAAAAATTTTGACCTATTCTCGGAACTAAGGGCCATTTGTCAGGGAGCGTTTTTTTTCGTGCAAGCACCTACTGTACACAGGGCCTCGGTTTAAACGGTTTCATTCGAAGGACCAGTCTCTTCGTCCCACAGCTCAGTATTTGCTCAAATGATTATTTTTCTGAATTAACCATGTCATTTACAAAGCAGATTTTAAGTGAATAATCATAACATTATTGCACAAAAGTGGAATGTATCAATGCAAACTTATAAATAACAGTTGTTTTTTTTTACTTTGGAAATCGTCCTTTCAAGTTTTGAATTGAGCAGTTCCCCCAAGGAATAAAATATTTTTTTTGTTCACATATTCCATTATATAAAATAGGTAATTTTAACGAATGAAAAGTAAACACCAATTTAAATCTGTGAAGAGGGCAAAAAGCACGGTCCCCTGAACATTTCAGAGGTGAGATCAGGTGCCTAGAAGGAGAGAGTATCCCACTTTTACCTATTACGCCTGCCTTGAGCCCTATGCAATGATAAAAAAGACGAAGCATTCGGAAGTCAAATTCAAGATAAAAACAAAAGCCTAACAACTGGTTTCAAACACTTCAGTCAAAATACGAACAAATGATAAGTTATATTAGCTTACATGGTCATTCTAACAAACAGATAAATTACGACATACTGATTTATTTTATGAATGAATATTTGGCAATTTAAAGTAAAACATGCACCAGATTAAGTTTTGAATGAAATATAATGTTACTCGTTTTGAAGTGTTGTTTGTGTTTTTTTTTTTTTTACATGAAAAGAATTCCAATTATTTATAGGGAAATTAATATTGAAATTGTAAGCCATTCAATGACTGTGTGATTAGATTTATCAAAGGGTGTAAGCCATATCATAGCTTCGTCACTATCTGTACCCAAACATTGACGGCTACTGAGGGCCTTAGAGAGGTCAGGGAGGAATTACCCTTTGATGTTTATCAAGAAGCTTAAGGTGATAAATAAACTTTTACTAATGGGCTTAACTGTGGAACAAGACATTCTTGTCTTTGTGAATACTCCCAGAAAGAGTTTTATTAGTTTGACAAATCGTAGTTATCCAGTTTTTATACATCAGACTAAAATTTGTCAGTAGTTACATGTGTGTATTCACACACATATTAATATTTAAAAAGAAATTTGATTCGTATAATCCTTTTAGTAAATCCATTTGTCTATCTTAATCAAATTTTCAAACCAATTAGCATTAATGTTGTAAAAGGTTTAACGGGTTTAAAAAGTCTTGCTAAGGAAATCCCGGATAAATTAGGTATATAAAGTCAACCTACGCACATACGATTGCTGCAAATTTGTAAACTGCCTGTAAGAAATCTAATTCTAGAATTCATTCCAGTTATCACAACTGGCAATGTAGCAACGTCATCAGTAAGATATTAATTTTGAGAATAAATTAAAGGTGTGTTTTATGATCAATATGTTTGACCCACAGAGCATGTTATCTGTTAAATCATTCATATGAGTGTGACCGGGCGACAGGGGATGCTTATTCCTCTATGGCACCTGATTTCATGATGTTTAAGAAATTCGTGTTTACTCCGCAGCTGCTTTAGACCCCTAAAATTAGGGTGTTTGCGCTTCTTTTGTGTTACACTACATTATATTTTCAACATTTATCTGTAAAAAAAATCTCATTATCATATTTCTTCTCATTAATAATCATAGGTAAGATCAGGTGCTTAGGATGAGTAAGCATCACCAGTAAATCACATTATGAATTAAAAATTTGCTTAAAAACTGTTTAAACAACACATGCCGTATCAGAATTTATTGCAGCTACTCGATGTTTAAATAAAAAGAGGTTGTCAGTCTCATATCTTTGTAACGTTTATAATTACTGGATTTATGTTACATTCAAGTAGGTAGATCTACAAAATGTGCTCAGATACATTAAGATTATCCACGAATTGTCATAATAAGTAGCAAATATTTACTCTGTGATTATAGTCAGTACTTAAACTTTTGTCATATCTATTGTTTAAACAATTGTATGATTCTTTTGGAGTACAATTCATCGTCGTGTAATTTATCTTCATTTCTAATCTATTCCTATAACCTTCGTGGAATAATCTGCACAAATATAGACAATTTCTTATAAGGCTGATAAGATTATTGTCACCTTGTATCATATTACCTTCAGTTCTCTAAAACTAGCGTTCTTCATTTCTGTTGTGACGTATGTCCGAGGTATATTAAAAAAAAGTGTTATGTTTTTCATATATGAAGACCTTAAAAAAATAAAGGTTATTTCAAATAATGTGTCATTTTCTTTTATTAATGTGTATTTCACGTTGGCGTCGTCAGCGAGATTTGGAAAAGTATTCGTTTTCTTCCTTATTGTTGCCAAAAAGAATTCACAAAAAGCCATAAAAACTGCATTGACATTTCAGGGAAAATAAGCGTCCTGGTGCGAGGAAAAAGTACCGTAGTCAGTTTGATCTACATTCAGAAAAAGATACCGATGCTTGGTTTTTCTTTTGAACAACAAAATGTAACATTAGTTAATATAACATGCAAAGAAGATGCATACTAGGGGAAACATTTGATTCAATCACATAATCACATACTTCTTTCTCTTTCTTATGGTGATGTATTGTCACCATATAGAACGCATAAGCTTCAATTTTTTTAAAGCATGATAAAACTAGTTGAACCCTACGTAGAGTAAATAAACACTATCCTTCCATGTGTATTCTGTTGTTGGTTTTTCACGTGATAATTAATCAGGTTGCTTGGGGTAAGTTTTGTGGTCTTGTCTACAAATGTGTGAAAATCCGTCTCTCGCGCTCTCTCTTGTTCAGTAATCTTATATTGTAAGTATCATTCAAAGGAAGACGGGTCATTATAGATGCTGTTTGTTTAGTATATTTTGATAGTAAGAACTTGGGTTTTGTGTTGCGATTCACCTGTAGGGAAAACGTCCTCCGTGAAATATCCTAATGTTCACGTGTATGTATTTGTGATTGAGCGTGTTTTCCAAAAATCTACAAATAATAAAGGAATGTTTTAAAGTGTTATAATGGAACGTAAAAGGCTTATTTAGATAGGAAACATTATTGTTTGAGCTGTCTAGGTATGTAGTATAAAGGGTTCTAAATTCCTTATGTATACATATCTGTCATGGCCAGTCTTGCTTTCGTTAGATACATATGCTTAAGTTCATTGATGAATCAGTTTGAAATTCAAGCATTAAGACTGAAGTGTTTAAAACCTATAAATAATGCTTGCATACCGTGTTACAAATTAATTAATCTTTGATATCTAATTACATATATGCATGCGTCTCATTAATTTTGACTGATTTTTTAAAACAAATTTAAAAGGATCAAATATTTCTCTGCATTAAGTAAAACTGAACAAATAGTTTGCCAGTGAAACTCTTCTGTTGAAATTTTTGGTTTATCTCGGGTATGCCTTTCATTGAGGTGTAGTAAGATTTCAAAGTTTGCCACCTTAGACTTTTATTCCTTTATTCATTACTCAAATATTGACATAGGTTATTCATTATAGAACAATAAAAGTGGAACAATCATTAGAATGTCAAACATTTTAGCGTATCATGTTTTGTTGTTGCACAGTGTATGTTATCAACTGTCATTTGCCAATTTATTGCAAATTGATGATAAGATTCGGGGGAACCAGACAAAGTATATATGTGATACATCGACAGTTTATCTAATATAAATATATTGATTAAAAGTTAAAATTCTTCTTTTATTTTTTTTTTCTTTCTCAAACATCGAGATCAAAATTATCTTTTTTTTTTAGATAATAAAACGATAATTAATATGCAATTAAAAAAAATCCATTTTACATGTTATTCATGTAAATGCATTTTTTTTTATTGTGCAAAAGATTTTAAGTTACTTTTATATATTTATTTATTTATTTATTTATTACAGTATTTGATCAACGAGCAATAGCATTATATTTCTTAACAATCCCTTTGTTACTTACTAATATACACTGTAGTTCTGAGAACAGTTTTGAGTCGACCAAAAGGATGTAGCAAAGTGCGAAGACGTACAACATTTTCATAGAATGTCCTTTTTTTATACAAATAAAAGATAATGCCGACAGTTTAAATGAATTGTTTAAAGTTGAGATCAAAGTCGTGGGTTATATTGGTGCATTTTTGCAAATTCCGAACTTGACATTTTCCCCTTTATTTTTATTTTAAGTTATTGAGAATTTATAACACACACGCATCTAACTATAAACACCGAGAAAGATGAAAGGTGTTGAATGGGTTTAAATGCTTTGATAAGTAACACTGACACAACTGATGTATAACATTTAAACAAACAATTATCTAAACTGCCCCCATTTTCTGCGATAAAGGTAGGTAGATCACGAAAGGGAGACAAAAGGCGATAACTGATTACAAGAGATCTGTGTCAATTAGAGGCCAGGCAGGGTCCATAGTCTTTGTTGCCGCAGCCGTCCAAAAAAAACCTAAAGAAAAAGGGAGCGGATATAAACGGAAATCTGAGCGGATAATCTCTAACGTTGGGAGTTTTTCAATTAGCATACTCCCTTAACATCCTATTTAAATTGACAGTGGCTCTGGGGCTATATAAACGGACGGAGTAACTCGGAGGGGATTATTACACCTAAGATTAGGAGAGGATTTAACTTCATTCAGAAAGTTTTTATTTTCACAGCATTTATATTGACATGTGATTCTGTGTATGATCAGCACATTAACAGAGGTGGCATTAGAAGAAGGCTTAATGGGGAGTTTTTACAGGATAGATTTTCATTGAGATTGGAACGTATGCTAGAGATATTACTTTTTACGGATTTTTATTGCAAGATTGCATATTTAGAAGTGAGTAATATTTTCTTTAATATGCTTAGTGACAAAGTTAGACTAAGATTTGCTCGTAAATCTGTTGAATTTCATATCAATAATAAAAATAGTTTTTTTTAGTATATATATATTTCTTTTATCTTTCAATAATAATTTTAGAGAAAGTGAAATTTTCAAAAGCGTTTTTCCCCCTGAAATTTTGCTACCGGGTAATAATAATGTGTCACTAAGCCAAAAATATCAGACATGTCTACTATCAGTATTTTCTATCTTCCTGAAGTGTATCCCCCAATACCCTTTGATTTTTCTCTTTTTGGTCTGTAGGGAAATTTAAAGTGTGAGTTTTTAAAAATCGTTAACACTATCAGAGAGGACTCGCTAGAGATTTAAAAGACCTTGGAGAAAAGGTATTGACCGAGTACCTGCTATGCTAATTGCTTGAAATATTTTGTTGATGAATTTAATTATCGTTTTAAAAAATTATTTTCGTTTAATTAGATAATCTCCTGCTAAAGGAACCTTCAGAAAACCACTCTTTTGTGAAATTTTAGGTTGTATATGCTCTCGTGGTGCTGCACACGATTTGTGACAAATAATAGCTCGGTGTAATTACATCCAATTTCATGCTCCCAGTTTTCCCCTAATTATTTGCGTCGTATATTACAAAAGTGATAGTTTACTTGAAGATTAACTAGGATAATACAAAGAACATTCAAATGACTTAATATGCAGGAAATAAATATACGCTTGAAGAACTTATCTGTGTCTGTGTATTTTGCTGATAATTTTTTCGTCAAATGCACTTCTTTCAAATAGTCAAAGTTATCTATCATGTACTTACAACTTTAAGCTAATTTCTCGTGTGATGATTGTTATAAATATCAGGTCAATTTTCATTGCTATTTGAAAATGTTTGAAGTTATGGTTGAATAAATTTACAAATTCGAAATTGAAAGAAAATAAAATGTGATGTTCTAACATTCTTTTATACAGGTAAGAGTGCGATGATTGATAAAGACTGGTCGTTCTCTCATTGATTCAGATAGCCACAGGTGCTCGCTTTGATGACACGGACTTTTAGGTAAATGTTGTTACTAATGACGTACATTTCCATAAGGGACAATGTAACGATTCACCTCTCGATAAATGTATGTGATCTTTATTTAATTCAATTTGTTATGTAGACTTTTATAAATTTGAAGTTTCTTTTAATTTTTTTTTCTCATTTATATAATTTTTTTTATTTCGCGGAAGAAAAAAAAAGTTCATTTTAAGAAACGAAAAAAATTATTAGGATGGCTAAAATTATTTTCGATCGACTTTATTAGAAAATATACACTTAATTTTGGATTCTGCTTTTATTTACCATGAGGCTCCGTTTGTCTGTTATTAGGTGCTCGCACTGCACCCTTATCTGTCTACAAGTGTTTGCATATCTCAATTTTAACAGCAAATGACAAATTTAAAGACCTTGTATATCTTATGGCATGTTAAGTCTTCTTTAAGTTTTGTCCGATGGTTCAGTCGGAAAATACTGTCATATATTTTATAGAAGCAAAGTCATGGGAAAATGTATGATAGAGAATCTGCAACATTGTTTACTTAAATAACTGACGAAACTTATTGCAGCCTTATCCATCTTTGCAAAATGCATAATATTATTTATCATTTTCAGGTTTTGCCAGACATATGACCCGCACTGAACTGAAGGTTCTGATACTATGCGTGGGCATTTTCCCTCTTCTATTAACTATATATAATATTGGAAAATGTGATCTTACAGTTGAGGATGATAGAATATTAAGGTAAAAATATCTTTAGATTCATAGAATTAAAAAAAAAAATTAAACACAATCAATGAAATGGCTCTAGTTGAATACTTTATATCTAACTATTTTATTAGATTTGTATATCTCTGGTATTCTGTGTTATGTGACACAATGAACTTTGCAACAAAAATTTATACAAAAACAAAATATAATCCTGATTTATTTGTAAGAATGGCCAAAGATTCAAAATCTTAAAATTTCTTCGTCTTTTAGGGAGGAAGTTTCTTCGCACATCACCAATGAGTTTGAAGCCTCAGTGGGGTTTCAGCCCAGGGTAGCCCAGGCTTACAACCACGCGAAGAGGACCAATCCAATCAAGTATGAAGAACTGGAGTGTGTCATTAATGGAGACTACTCCGTAATGGGGAGAAAAGAGGGCAAAGATGTTTACATGCCATTTTCTTTCATCCAGAACTATTTTGAGGTATGACATGAAAGTTCTAATTGAAAATAAATTAGAAAAAAAATGTTTCATGAAATATGAACAAAACGAACAGAATTTAAGCTCAAAAGGTCATAGAAACAATACAAATCAGGAGCAGAGTAAACACAGACCTCTAAAACACCAGAAGTGGGATCAGCTGTCATGGAGAGATAAGCATCCCCTGTCTATCTTTCTTGGATTGAAAGCTAATTATAAGTAAATGACCTTTAATATGAATTCCTTGTACCTTTAACAATTGTTGTCATTATTGTAGGTGTATGGCTCCCTGGAGACATCAGATGGATATGAAAGATTTTCATTCCACCACAGTTATCAAGATACATTCCCTTCTGGTCCTCAACCGAAGTACCAACCCAGCGGTGTCTTCATGTCCTTTGATCAGTATAGTGTGGAGGACAGAAATAGGGTTAAATGTGTATCAGGCATTGAAGGTAAATATTACAAATCATTTCAACTTTTTATTCTCTTGACTTAATTAAAAGTTTTTTTTCAAACTAAATGATATTTGAAATTTTTTGGCAATATTCCAAAAAAAGGCAGCATAAGTAGAAAAATATCTTCAACTAAAATAGTAGAAGTAAGATTTGACAATGGATAATTTTAGGTGTTCCAATATCCACCCAGTGGGAGCGCAAAGGACACTATTACCCAATACAAATAGCTCAATACGGCCTAAGTCATTACAGTAAACATTTGTCACAACCTCAATCCAAAGAAAAAGTTCTGGAAGATGGAGAGGAAACAGATCTCTCTGACTGGCTGCTTCCAGACCGGAAATCTGAAATCCGCGGCAAGATGGACGACAGAATTTTAATGGATAATGGAGTGGTGGAATTTCAAGCAACAAGTAAGGACATATTGTTTTTATTAGCTGGAGAACTAAACATTTTATAGAAAACATTTTTCCTTATAACATATTGAACAACTAATTCAAATTTGTATATCTTTCCAGCGAACCAGAAAAATTCTGGAATCTGTAGATCCACCAAGGAAAAGAGACTGTTGACTTTATCCATGGATATTATGTTTATAAATAATGGAAGTGTTACAGTATTAATTCAGACAGGAGATGGAAATTTGTACCGTATTCATTACGTGCTTAGTGATAATATAATCAAATTAGAGGGTAAAGACCTTTATTATGGAATTGGGTCGCACAAGAAAGGAAAATGGATTCACTTAACGAGACAAGTGATGGTGGATTTTCAAAAAGGATTAACATTACGATTTTCCAAAAATCGAAGTAACAAAATCAAAAGTGCAGCCCATATTGCAGGTATATGTGTTCGTGGTCATGGTATAATGGACAATGTGACCCTTCGTAGCCATGCACATAAGGATTTGTTTTTTGATGCTGCAGATTATTTTGTTCGGCATCAAGATTCTGAGGGTGGTTGGCCAGTGAAGGTGACACGTAAATTAATTCCAGGAGTCATGGAACTAGAGCCAGGATGGTATTCTGCCATGGGTCAAGGGCAGGCCATTTCTCTCCTTGTACGAGCATATGTGGCCTCTAAAGATAGGACTTATTTAGAGACAGCGGGTAAAGCGTTGAACATTTTTGACATTCCAAGCTCCGAGGGTGGAGTTCTAGCAAAATTTCTAAATACATATGACTGGTATGAAGAATACCCAACCACACCCAGTAGTTTTGTGCTCAATGGATTTATTTACTCTTTACTTGGTCTCTATGACCTTAAAGAAATAGCAATAGGTAGGACCAGAGAAAAAGCAGCCGAGCTGTTTGAAAAAGGCATGAGGACGTTAAAAGCAATGCTGCTCATGTTTGATTCTGGTACAGGGACGTTTTATGACCTTCGACATATCACATCAGGACTTTCACCGAATCGTGCACGCTGGGACTACCATAAAGTTCATATTAAACAACTGTATATACTAGTTGAATTAGACAATGATCCGCTCTTTTATAATACTCTTGAAAGATGGAAAGGATATATGAAAGGGAAGCCTGCACCCCACAATTAGTTTTGGGGATATTTACACGCTTCTTGATCATGAGTTGTCACAAGTTCAATGCATATTGTATTGTACAAAATTATTTCTGGTAATTGTCAAATTTTAAGACAACATTTTAAGGGATGAAAGTGCATTCATCTAAGTACCAAGTGAAAATCCGTCAAAATTCTTTTCCAAATTTATACATAAATTACACATCCTTTCTTTGAAGTTTTTGTTTTTCAATAAAAGAGACCCAGCATGAACCAAAGTGCTATTGAAAACAATATTATCATTGTTCTAGTTTTTGATTATTAGAAGTTTTGCATTTGAAGTACACTGCCTTTCTTGTACTTTCACCATCATGTGCTAAAAGAAAAATGTGTGTTCTTTGGTATAAGTGCAATTTTGTGTATATGCATGTGTATAAGCCAAATTTTGTTTCTATTCAAGTATTTTATTGTAATTCTTTTTCTGACGTTGCTATTCAAATATACAAATATGCTAGCAATATTTTTTTCATTTCATTATAAAGATATCATTATTTTCAAATTTATTATTATTTTTAACGATTACTGACTTCGAACAAATAAACTGGAAATTGACAAATTGAGAAAAAAATTTTTACTGGTTGGGCTAGTAAAATGACATGAAGTACTTGAATGTATTTTTATAAGTGTTTCATATTTCATGCTGTAAAAAATTGAAAGGATCCTTTGCATATTGCTGTTATCACATGTATTGTATTGGTAAAACAGTATAGTTGTGAAAGATTCATTTTTGCATGATCTTACAGTGTACATTTAAAAATGCAATGATATTGTTAGGAAAAGTGTGAGTATGCGAGATAGTTCTTTCATTCCTTTGTTAAACTATGTTTCAGATATGTTGTTTTTTTTAGTGACATTTAAAACACAGTCAAATAAAACGGTTATATTATGTGTCAGTTTATTATAGTTAAATATTCACAATATCAGTTAAAAATTCACAATATCGAGTACCATTTGAAACAAAATGTGAAAAATACCTTTATTATAATGTATCAGATGGCCATCTAATGATCTTAATATTTAGTTGACGTGTTTACTCTTTACTCTCTAGAAGATAACAATACATGTATATTATATATAATTTTTGGTAAATTATATATAATTCACCAAATAAAAAGACATACAAGAAGGTATTCCACATTCACTTTGAAAGTAACTGTGCAAATAACCAAAAACATGTTAAGTTTTAGTGGGTACTGATTTTTCTACACCCGTGCATATAAATAATTCAGTCGATTGCCTTGTTGTTCATCACGATAACCTCGTTTTCAAGAATCCTCAGATTAAAGCTTAATTTACAGGTTAATGGCCATTCTGTGAAGAGAACACTTCTACTGATAGCAAGGATTATAGTCCAGCACAAAGGACACCATCCAGGGGATAAAAAGTGAGAATATTTTACTTATCGTCAATGGAATTGTCGCAGGATGAAAGTATGAATGAACTTGTTATCTTCAGGAGAGGGAAGAGTAAACACTTCAACTCGCTCTTTCAAAGCCTTTGTTGTTTTGGGGATTTATTGTTTCAACGCCCTGAATTTTTCCTCTCAATTTCTCTCTAATCTCTTAATATCATGCAGGATTTAGTATAGATATTTTGTTGAGAAGAAATGAAATTCCTTCAAAAGACAATCTTACATGGTTTAGAACAAGAATCTTCCTTTTGTTTGTTAATATGTTGTTCTAACGTATACTTAAAACATAAAACAGAGTAAGGATTTCTGTTTATTGAAACACCTGCTATATTTGACTGCAAAAGGCAATAATGACCTATCACAAACGACGACCATTTTCTTCTTTAAACAAGAAAGGGGAAAAGAATAATAACAAATTGTAAAGCCTGCAAGCAATAAAAATCTAATGAAGTTAAAGAGATCTTCAACAAAAAATTGAAAATTAATTACTGTATTTTGTTGTTCGTTTTGTCATTTTTTTTTAAGGAAAATCAAAATTGTTTGATTTATGGTTATCTCCCTTGCCTTGAACAGCATTTCAACCAATGAAATAATTGAAAATTTTCTCATTTACAGAGAGGAAGTTTGTGTCTTTATATATGTACACATCTTTGTTTAAATCATGTATTCCATCAGATTTTAAAGATATAAAAATTTTATAATGAAATATACAGTATACATGAATCCTTGTAATTTCTTTGGAGTAAACTTGTTGCTTTTACGTAAAATCTGTTGAAAAAACTCCATAAATAGCTTTGACATTTAAAAAGGGTCATATAAAAGTATTATGCGTGAAAAAGATCAACTGTTAATGTCAGTATCAGTATAACACTTTAAAGAGTTTTTTTTTCTCTTGATATCTTTGCAAGAACCATGACTTAAAAATTACCATAAAATACATATTTAAGACAAATTAACTTCTCAACCGAAATCGTAGATTTGAAACGTTCCTTATATTTCTTTTTATTCCAGTGTTCTCTTAAATCAACAAGCTATATGAGCTGCATAAGACGTATAAAGTTTGGAATTTATGAAATAAAACTTAATATAAACCATTAATGTATATACTCTTATTCGTATAGTAGATGTTAACAAAGTATAAACATTAAAAACCTAATGTGTAATGTTTATCTCGGATTGCATACTTGCAACTTCCAATCATTACGTATTCTTTGACATTTTTTGGGATTTTGATTTGATTTTTTTTTATTTGAACATATTTTATAATTATGCAATTATATATAAACGGATTGGGCAGCAGGCATAGCCTAAATGAGCCCTCTGCTGTTCACTTTCTCTTCAATGAAACTTAGAAGAGGGAGCCTAATTCGATATGAAAAATGTTCAAGAACATGTATTTTCCATTTCAAACCATTTGAAAATCAGCTTTAAGATGCTTTTTGTAACAGATAAAATCTGATCCAGATTTTATCATGTATTGGAAATGTGTGAAATCTGTTAACAATGTGATCCTCTGTGGTCTCCATGGTATCTCGCTTCACAGTGTAAGACTCGGCCATAACAATGCACAAATATCTTCATTAAAGCAAGAGAGTACTCATATACCAATAACATCATGAATACACTTAGATTGTTTAACAGGTTTGATATTGAGTTCAAAAGGTATTTGCAAGGGAGTAAAATTTATTCCGTTTGTATTGAAAATATTGTTAATATCATATTTACACTTTTCATGAACAGTTTGCTGCAGAAATAAATGTTATTTTGGGCACTTTCAAAAACGAAACCAATAGACAAGAATGATATCTCACCTTACAAGTTGATTGCTACACTTGCAAAGTCTTTCCACTGTTTAACATTTCTTCGCCGGTGGTCACAGGTGCGGTAGGTTTTTAGGCAATCTGAAACATTGAAAAAAGAGCTGTTGTTACTTTAATTGTTTAAGGTGTTGATTGATTCTTGTCATGCAATCACCTTTTGTTTAATTGGTAGATAACTTGCTGATCAGACTAGGTTACAACGTCTGTATTCTCATTTTTAAAAGTAAGATACACCGTATGAATGTATGGTAGTCTGGGACACCGTCTGACTTGTGCAACTTCAAATAAAACAAAGATTTTTTTCTAAAATATAATACGAAGATAATAACAAAGAGAATCAAAAGTCTACTGAAAAAATTAAATATAGATAATTGTTAATTAGTAACATGTCGTCGCGGTATGTTATCTCTTAATATTGATTTGATTTGAAGGCATCAGGAGACTTTTTTTTATACAAAAGATTTTAAATTTATCTTTATTTAAACAACAAAAAATGACTGCCTGCTTAAAATGGGGAGCAACTGGGACCCATTTGGGAATCCAACAGATTGTTGAAAGACGATTTCCAGAAATTATCAGAAATACAAGTATTTTTAAATATAAATTTTGGAGTACTTCAGTGTAGTCAGAATGCTTTCTAACGATTTCTTGCTCAAGATCAATGTCAATGACTTATGAGTTCTATTTTTATTTTTATAAAAGCAGTAATTATGTCAAAATGCATGGACTATAAAACTCTTGAAAAAAATAAATCAGGTAGCCCATTTCTACTCAACAAAGAATCTGGAATCTGTATACCTTACCATAAAGGATTGAAACGGAATGTATTGATTCCTCTGTTATCTTACAGATTTTTACCTAATGAAAGCTTCCGAATTATCCATTATTGATTCTGTAGCATGTTGAATTGAACTGAAGGAAATGACACTCTTCGCAATCACATGATCTGCTAGTTATCATTAATTAAAAAGACAACAATGGGAATCAGGTAAATGAATATCAAAGAGTGTTGCAAAGCTTGATAATGTGAAGTACAAGCAAGTATGTGTATCTGTTAATTATTCTTTGAATTCAGGACTGAAATGCACGCAAACGACTTATACTTTACTTTATTTACTTCGCGAGGCGTACATACAACAGCATTTGCATCTCCTTCAATTATATTTTTGATTTGCAGGGATTTCTTTTAAATGGAGATATTATCAGCAAAACTATTTAGGAACATCTGAAAGAGAGAAAAAGGAAAATTTGACGCAATGTTTTAATTTACATCTGTTCATTGCAAATAGAAGGATTTTCTCATATTTTGAAATTTATTTTCAATTTTAAATCGATCAAAATCTTGTAGAAAAAAAACAGAGTTGGGCAGAATCGGTGTCACAGTAGTCATTTTATAGATTAAGATTCAAATTTTCTAGGTTCAACTTGTGAACGCATGGGTTGGATTGGACAATTAAGAGATTTGCAAATAAAAAGTAAAAAAAAATCAATTTAAGGAATAATGATTCGATTCCTGTAAATTACAAATCATGCATTAAACACAGGTCAGACTTCCTCTAAATCAAGTATATAGATAGAAAGGGATTGATATTACCCCCAGTTGATGAGAATTACGTCTCCGAGGGTTGATGAAACATGCTGAGTCGTAGAACCTATCCTGTTAATTTCCATAAAACATGATTGGTTCTACGGTTCCTAATTCATCCTCTTAGTCATAAATAATCCTACTACAATCCTATAAAACATTTGTCTTTTTTCCCTTGGAAGATAAAACTCTTTTAATTTCCATAAAACATTATTGGTTCTACATATCCTAATCCATCCTCTTAGTCATAATAAAATCCTTCATCAATCCTTGAAAACATTTGTCTTTTCTCCTTCGAAGATAAACTTTTCTGTCAATATTTAAAGTATGTGCTAAAATATATTTAAGTCAGGTGTGACGGGTTGGCAGAGGATGCTCACTCCTCCATGACAGCTGATCCAAGCTATGATGGCTGTTTCTGTTTGCTCTGCTACGTATTTGTCTGAATGGACTTTTGATCTTGAATTCTGTTTCGTAATCTCTCTCGTCTTATATTTCATTCAAGTGAGTTGCTGTTCAAATGCATTAAAACACATTTCTTAATGCTTGATTCAAAGAATTTTATTATAAGTCAGCTGTTTATAGATATTCAGACCTGCCTACCCTTTTCATTGCAAGGGTGTAATTTCGGTAAATTTTTGGTGTAATTTCAGAGGTACAAGCGTAATCTATCACATTTTCCTATTTTGTTGTTTTACTTTAATACTTTTTTTCTTTAAAAACAACAGAAATTATACATTACTAAACAAAGCTGGCATAACCTTTTTTTTTCGAATCATCTAGTATTGGCGAAAAATGTGTTGTAAAATACCAGTATCCTATATTAAACACAAATCAACCGCACACCCTTATTGAAGCATCAATTTCTATCAAATAACTTAATTGAAGGCTTGCGTTTGTATGTTTACAAAAATCGTAGATATTCAACACTGTATGTTATCTTTTTAGCACTCACATTTCTCTACCTTGTTCTAAGTAATGTTAAAATAAACTAAACTGAGCATAGTAAACGTAAGTAGTGCCTTCTCGTGTTCTTCCGAATATTCGTACTACCAGTTTACATGTAACTACT